TTTATAAACTAAAACGATTTAAAAAATTAACTTCCACTTTTATAATAAAAAAAACTTATTATAAAAAATTCTTTACAACAGTTGGGCTAAACAAACACTATACATATCCAGTAGAACAAGTTCAACTGCTACCAGCAGCTACAATGAATTGAACAAGATTTTAGGGGAAAAGGTGAAAGGAGAAAAAAAACAACGGAGTTCTCGGGTTCTCCACGTAATCACATGAGTATTTATAAATAGTTCCGGTGATATATATCGAATAACTTTATAAATTGTTATATTTATGGATATTGAGTAGTGTTTAACTTTTAAAAATTACAAATATAACTAAATTAAAATTATGTCAATCAAATATAATAAAAAAATGAAAATTTATATTTTTAAATATAATTCATGTGTACCTTTATTACTTAAATCAATTTTAATATATTTTTTTTCAAATTATTATTATTATTATTATTATTATCTTCTGCCGTCCCAACCACATATGATGTGTTTAAGATATTAGAAAGGCAATACTTTTAGCATTTCTACATCCCATGAAGAAGATTGGCACAAAATACGTCACTGAGAAACAGAAGATAAATACACCAAATGCATGATGCCAGTGAAGCAGCTAAAGGGCCGGAGACGTCACCGCTTGCAAAAACATCCAATTTACAATACAAATTATTGGGACCAACACAACCGCCATGCATGGACCATGATGCCCAAAGAAAATGACATTTTTTTTTTCTATCTTTTATTAATGCTTTTGTTCTTTTTGGACGGTACGGTGTGCTTAACTCAGAAAGAGCTCATTTTTCTGTCAATCTTACTTTATTTAATTCAATAATCCACCGAACCCACTTCACTAAATACAATAAAAAGATCAATTATTGGTATGAATTAAAAAAAGAAAAAATTTCCCTGAAAGTGTCCATGACCCATGAAAAGGAATATTGAATAATAGAAATAGCGAGAATGAGTTAGGTAGCCAATCTATTTCCACCATATGTGTTTTTTTATGGACTATCTCCACCAGACTTGGTATTATAAAAGAAAGTATTATAGGACAACTAGCAATATGATTTTAATTAATTTAGTTGTCAATTAATCGAAGTTTATATTAATAATAAAAGTATTTGAAAATTAAAAGTTAATATTTTTAAATAAAATGTTATGTAAAAAAAGTTTGTACGAAACAATATCAAATAAAACCTAATAAACTCTCATCCAAAGAGTGGTGGTTTATTTAGTTAAGGGGATTTGCTTCACTTTTAATTAATCAACGCTTAATTTTTTTAAAGAGGATAATAAGAAAGTAACAAGTTATAATGTAGATAACTTATCTTTAATTAAATTGAATTAAAAAATTAATCTTAAAATACATACCAACTAATCTAGGTACATTGTATTTACTAGACCAAAAAAAAGAGCTAGTGAAGACATGAATGAAAAAATTATTAAAAACTACATCACTGTGGGCAAATAATATTGTCAATAAATCATGATAAAAAAAAATACAGTCGTTAATATAATTAAATTAACAATATGACTAATAACAATTTAATGAAGTTAGTACTTATATTAATTAAAAATTCTTAAATTGAAGTTAAATACAGATGTATTCAAGACTCAACCTTTAACAAGTTAGAGAACTACTCCTACTTCTATAGACTATACCATATATGTTTCCCCAAAAAATAAACCATAGCATATATCATTAAATTAATATAAAAGAATATCCAAATCAACAAAAAAAAAATCATTAAAATATAAAAGAAAAATCAACAATGTCTGAATCAACACGGAACCAGAACTTCAGACCTGAATTGTATATTTGCATTGCAAAATAAAGTAGTTGAAATTTGGGGAAAGAGATGGATTATCTAATCTATGAACAAAACAGTCAAGCTAGCAAGTATATAATATACTATCTGATTATATAAAAAAAAAAATCTAAGAGGATGATGTATACTAATT